CCCGAAGCGCAACAGCTTTTTTAGGGGACATAACTTCCTCATTTAACACTATTGTTAGATTAGATTAACATGGCACCTCTTGACCTCCAAAGACCAACAGTTCTTTATCTAATATCTCGCTGATTTCTTTTGACTAATACAAATCTTGTTGCATGTTTGAAGGCTTGCCTTATCTAAGGTTGGGCTTTAAGTTAACTTGGAAACCATTGCATCAACATCTGTGCTTTCCAAAATTTTTGTATAATCATTTGTTCATCTAAACTGGTCTAAAATAAAAAACTTTGCTTTCAATTTATGTCGGAAGCTAGATTTTTATCAAACCTTTAAATTCAAACTCAAAGAGTGAGCTGGTTTAGCACAAATACATAAGTTTTGGAAGATTTCACAGCACAACATTTGCTGTTTCTTTAACCCACATTTGATGACAGACAGGCAGCACCACTGGACCTTCTTCCAACAACTGCACAACAACCACTTGTTGACTTTCTTCAGCAGCTCTGCGAGATGTTCTGGATCCGACTTCATGATCTGGTCAAATTCTGCAAACTGATAACACAGAGAGCCGTGCCACCATTTACAACCTTCATCAGAAAGATTTCTGTTACAAACGTCCCAACTACGGTTATATATTACCTTTCCTGGGCGGAAGAACACTTTCGTTAATCCAAACTTGAAGTCATTATCATTAAGTCCCAAAGCTTTGAACAAGGCCTGTGAAGGATCAGATCTACAGTCAGTCCATTATAAATAATCTATTCCATGCTATCAAAATATCTTTTTAATAATTACTTTTCAGTTTAGCTTTTTTGCACTAAACAAAGATGTATTGTTTATTTAATCAACAGCAAAACAGGATTCCTGCAGTAAGCATCATCTCACCTTGCAGAAGAGTCGTGGATTCAGTCGTGTAAGTTTGTCAGGCATGTATGCTTTATACATATTGTAGAGCTCGTGGAAAGGAGCCCTGGAGGGGAACCCACCCTGCATCAGGTCCAAAACTGACACCATTCCTAATAGATGCAAACAGGGACACAGGAAGAAAAAAAAAAATCCCATAACTTTGTGGCAGTCTTTCTAAGAGATTTGTAAGGCTGTGACTGCTTACCACAGCTGTCATAGCCCACAGTAACAATACCGCTTAAATTTGAACTTTTTCTTTCAACAATTACATCAATTGATTCTTAAAGTTGTTCAGTGCTCCAATAGAAAAAATAAATAAATAAAGAATGGTGAAAAACACTAAATATAAACATTCAGACAAATCAATTAATTTTCTGGAGTTTTTAATCATCACTGATTGAAATTTATCATTTAAACAATAAAACATATCCCCATAATGATAAACGCACGCTCCTAAGTGTAACATGATGTTCAGCAGCAAATTGGTTTCAGTTCTGCTTTTTTGTTTCTATGGTTATATACGACTAACCAATTTCTATGTTTACAAGCTTGTATCGTTGCAGGGTGTCAAATGCAACCTTATAACCCCAACCCCTTTACGGGGGAACAGAAGACCTCAGCATTCAACCAATCAAACAATTCCCTTTAACGACCTTTCAGAGACATAGACAGGTATCTG